AAGAAGACGTCAAAGAACGGAGATCCAAGTATGTCCGTCCTCCCTTGATCGTCGAATACATACCCGTGGTCGATCTCAGGATCGGCCATCCGACATTGAAGTGGAGGAGGGAAGGCGTCGTCTTCTTCTTCTCTTGGCTTCAAACTTCCCAAGGGGGAGCAAGGAGAGGGGCGGCCAAAGTGGAGAAGGGAAAGAGGGGAGGGGGTTGGCTAAAGGGAGAAGAATTAGGTTTAGACCAAGAGAGGAATAAAGTTTTTAATCCAAACCTGAAATTAATTTCAGGTTTTAAGTAAATTTGGAGGGAAACCCAATTTGAAATTAAGTTCAAATTTCAAATGAGGTCAAGGGGAGTTAATGGGCAATTAATGGGAGCCCATCAAGGGTAGCCGGTGGCATAGAGAGAGAGGGAGGTCGAGTCCAATTCAAATCCTGAAATTAATTTCAGGATTTGAGTGAATTTTGAGGGAAAAACTAATTGAAATTTGATTTTAAATTAGCATGGAATTAATGCCTTAAGTGAGCATTAAATGGAGAGAGGCCCTAGTAGGGCCGGCGACATGGAGAGAGGGGAGGAGGGAGATTAGGGAGTCGTTAATTACTTTCCAAACGAGTTGATGCCAAATAGGATGGAAAATAATAATTCGCATCTCATGAAATTTGGATTGGATTTAATTTCAAAAACTTTCCTTATTTAGATTTTTCCAATATGAAAAATTTTGAATTTCAAAATTTGAAATTCAAACTTGCTAGATTCTCTCTTTATTGTAAGAACCCAAATTAGGGAACTATTATGAAGATTTGAATCATCATAATGGCATTGACCATGAGGGTGGCCGGTGAAGGAGGGAGGAGATGCCACCGTCGGGTTGAAGTAGGGTTTGATGGTGGTGGATTTTGAAGTGGGGAAACTAGAAGGTGAAATGATGTGAGAGATAAGGCGACGGGTATGTGGCCGGCGGCTTGGGGAAGGGCTAGGGTCGGCGGGTGAGGGAAGAAAAGAAGAACGGGGATGAGGGAGGTAGGCCACGAGTCACGGACTCTTCCAATGACTGGTGGGTATTGCTTTTGCCCTTACCTTGGGCTCTCTCTCTTCTATCTAGTGCTCACACAAGAGAAAGAAGAAGACAAACAACAAAATTTCATTCAAAATATTTATCCTCTAATACATAAGAGAATGACCATATATATAGGCCTCACAATGACAAATAAACAAAAGACAAGAATGTCCCTCGGGCTACAATAGTGACCAACTACCCATAAGGGCAAAAAATGGAAAACTGAAAATAATAATAATGACTAATACAAAAAATGCATCAAAAGTAAAGACTCTCCATCGTGGCCATCGATCTCCTGTGTCGCCTCTGATAGATGCGTCGAAATCTCGTATCGATGTCCCCATCAGAAAGCTAAGGAGATTAATAGTTTAGGATATAAATTTTGGTATTCGGGTAGGAGTCATACTAGAAATGGTGTAGGTATGATTATAAATAAGAGTTTGAAGGATAATGTTATACAAATTAATAGAATTGGAGATAGAATTATAGCTTTAAAGATTGTTGTTGATGCTAAGATTGTTAATATTATAAGTGTTTATGCTCCTCAAATAGGTTTGAATATGAGTTCATAATTAAAATTTTGGAATGACTTAGAAGAATTAATACAAAAGATACCTTTTGAAGAAAGAGTTTTTATTGGATAAGATTTAAATGGACATGTTGGTAGAGAGGTAGATTTTAAAAACATCCATGGTGGCCATGGGTTTGGAACAACAAATGAATGTGGTAAGACTATATTATATCTTTCTTTGGCTTATGATTTCTTAATAGCTAATACATTTTTTAAGAAGAGAGATGAACATCATATCACTTATAAAAATGGATATAGTAAAACGCAGATTGATTATTTTCTTATAAGAAAATTAGATCGTTTAGATTGCAAAGATTGTAAAGTTGTTCCGAGTGAAAATTTATGTATCCAACATCGATTATTAATTTTGGACTTTAAGATAAATGGGAAAATATAAAAAAAATAAAGTAAAATAATTTTCTAGGATTAGATGAGGGCATTTAAAGAATATTAACAAAAATATTTTTGAGAGTAAGATTTTAAATCTTAAGATTCTGTATGTGCATGAGGATGCCAATATTATATGGGAAAAAGTGACTTACGACATTAAGAATATTGCAAAAGATGTGCTTGGAGTTTCGAAGGAAAAAACTCCTAATAGTAAAAATAGTTAGTGGGCTCGTAGGAATTGGAAGGAAGCTCTCGATCGGGGCTTGCTCACGGTTGCTAGAGTCAGACAAGGTAGAAGATTGCCGGGTGAGGACTTCGGCTAGGTAAAGGGGAATGCTCCTTCTCTCTCTCTCTCTCTCTCTCTCTCTCTCTCTCTCTCTGCCGAAGGATTGGGCAAAGATTGGAAAGTGGAGAGGGCAGTTGAGTTCGGTGGGTGCAAGGGTGGAGTTGGGTTTGACGACAGAGGAAATGGGGAGAAGCAGCTTGCATGAGACTTCGTGCGTGTGTGGTAGAGCGGAGGGAAAAAACGAACGATAGAAGGAAGTCTCGCTCTCGTTTTAACGACGCAAGGAGTGGAGGATCGTATCCAAGCACGCGCGAATGGACATCTTCAGCACCGTTTGCAGAGGGATGGGGCAACTGCCGCAAGATTTGGGCAGGATTTGCGGCAAAGCCTCCCACAGGTAATGATTTAGGTATATTTTTTTTTTTATATTTTGTTTCTTTCTTTTGGCTCTAGCAGGGAGGTCAACAGATAAGCAACGCGATTGCTAGGACTTCACATCAGACAATGAGGGTTGAGATGCATAGGACAATTACCATGAAGGTCGAAAATGCATCAGGTCATAAAGATCATATTGCAATAAATAAGTTGGGAAGAAAACTAGGACTCTAGTACCATTTGGAGAAAAATATGCTAGAATGTATTCTTTCTCATTCATTCGAAACATATAATACAAGGCAATATAAATTTTATTGAAAGCGCACTTCAATGCCACTATAGAGTGAAGTGTTGTGCCACTTCGCCGCATTGCATTGTAGAGTTTTACGCTTGGATTGCGCACTTCAAAGCCGCTATAAGAGTGAAGTGAAGTGTTGTGCCACTTCGCCGCATTGCATTGTAGAGTTTTACGCTTGGATTGCGCACTTGAAAGCCACTATAGGAGTGAAGTGAAGTGTTGTGCCACTTCGCCGCATTGCATTATAGAGTTTTACGCATGGATTCAGATCATGTGAAATCCTGGTTCAACTTTTCATAGTTCGGTTTAGTATTTGCTATAATAACTAGGCACGAATGTTCTGTTTTCATTGCTTCGTGGAATCATTGTCATTGCTCATTGTTTTCTCCATTTCTCTTGTTGGAGCTATTTAATTCTTGGTGGTGCTTCCGGTCATACTCTCTCATCCGCTAGTGTTTTTTTATATGCTATTGGCTCTTGTTGCTAGTGACAAGTGCCCTGTATCCACTACGCCGAGCAGAACCAGCAGTCACCTTCATCTCTCAGAACTTGTCTCCATCCTCTAACTCAAATGTTGCACTCATGGCAGATCCTGAACCATCTCCTTGGTACTTGGACAGCGGAGCTTCAGCCCACCTTACACCAAATCCCCTCCCCATTCAGCAACCCACACCGTATTCCGGTCGTGATCAAGTATTTGTGGGTAATGGCAATTCGCTCCCCATTCAACATGTAGGTAACAGTCTTCTTCTGACACCTACTCGTAAGCTTCGTCTTAATCATCTCTTTCATGTTCCTTGTCTTACTCATCGTCTTATTTCCATTTCCAAATTAACTAATGACAATAACTGCTCTATTACATTTGATAAATCTGGTTTTCGTGTTAAGGATACGACGACCAAACAACATCTTCTCCACGGACAATGTCGTAATGGCCTCTATCCCATTCCGTTCCGGTCTTCCATTGTTGTTGCGTCCACAACCGTTGCATCCCCCCAATCGGCTCTATCATGGCATCGTCGTCTGGGTCATCTGAACCCCAAAACTATTGCTGCTATTTCTAAAGCTTTTTCTTCTTTATGTATTTCATCTTTAACTTCTGTATGTAATTCCTGTGCTCTAGCAAAAAGTCACTGGTTACCTTTTCTCCCTCCAACCATGTATCCTCTTCTCCATTAGAGTTAATCCATGTCGACGTCTGGGGTCCTTCCCCTGTCTTCTCTTACTATGATTTTCGTTATTTTTTGGTAATTGTTGATGATCATACAAAGTATACTTGGATTCATATGCTTAAACAAAAATAAGAAGTGCCTCACTACCTCGCTCACTTTATAAATTCCATTGAAAAACAATTAAACTCGATTGTCCGAACCATTCGTAGTGTCGATGGAAGTGAATTCAAAAATACCTACTTCCAATCATTCACTTTCAACCGTGACATTACACATCAATTTTCTTGCCCCTATACTCCACAACATAACGGAGTCTCTGAACGTAAAAATCGGCATCTCTTAGAAACAGCTTGGACTCTTCGCATAGATGCGCATCTTCCCTCCCAATTCTAGTCTGAAGCAATCCTCACTGCAGCTTTTCTCATTAACCGTCTTCCATCACCTAATACATCCTCTAAATCTCCTAATCATTTACTATATCATACTCCTCCAGACTACACTGTTCTTTGTCCATTTGGCTATCGTTGCTTTCCTTGGACACGATATTCAGCTCCACATAAACTTGCTCCTCGGTCGGTTCCCTGTATTTTCCTTGGATACATTACAAATTATAAAGGCTTCAAATGTTATAATCCTTCCACTAACAAACTCATACTCTCTCACCATGTCCAATTCGATGAATCTTCCTTTCCCTATACTTCCCCACCCAATACTACCTTCGAGCAACCACCTTCCTCTACAGTCGTTTCATATTTTCCTCCCTCCATGTCCACAACCACAAATCCCACCTCTGAACCAACCTCCAGCTCTCCTACATACATCTCTTCCCCCCCCCCTCCCACCAATTCATCTTCACTCAACACTTCTCCTTCCATAACTTCCTCTCCCACTTTATCCTCCTCAACTCCATCAACCATACCAATTATACCAAAATCCAATTATCCCATGGTCACCAGGCTACAGACAGGAACACTTAAACCACGAGTTCTTTTAGATCTATCTCACATTGTCCAAACCCCACCTACTTGCTTCTCTACTGCCAACAAAGATCTTCACTGGCGCCATGCCATGTCCGAATTTCGGGCCCTCCAAGCACAAAGTACTTGGTCTCTAGTCCCTCTGCCAACAAACCAACAGGTAATTGGTTGTAAATGGATATACAAACTAAAGCATCTGGCAGACGGTACCATTGCCATATACAAAGCCCGTCTGGTCGCGCAGGGCTTCAAACATGAATATGGTATTGATTATCTTGAGACGTTCAGTCCGGTCGTTAAACACACCACAATCCGGCTACTTCTACTCGTTTCTCTCCACCATGATTGGCCAATACATCAACTTGATGTTATGAACGCGTTTCTTCACGGTTCATTAAATGAAACTATTTATATGAATTAGCCATAGGGATTTGAGAATCCAAATTACCCGCACCGTGTTTGTTTGCTGCATAAGGCTATCTATGAACTCAAACAAGCGCCACGCCTTTGGTTTACAAACTTATCAAATTATCTCAAACATCAAAGTTTCACTGCCAGTTCAGCAGATCCTTCTTTCTTTCATCTACATAGAGATGACCTTCACATATATATACTGGTTTATGTTGACGACATTCTCGTCACCGGCAGCGATCCAATCTATATTTCCAGTTTACTTGCTAAGCTTCACTAGAGATTTCAAACACGGGATCTTGGCCCGCTCTCAATATTCCTTGGCATAGAATTTCTCAGAACAGCTCATGGATATCATCTTTCACAGCAGTCCTACATAACCGAGCTTCTGCGCACTGCCTTAATGTCCAATTGCAAACCATTACTGACGCCATTACCATCCAAATATCCTACAGACACCAGCCTTCACTTACCATTCTCTCAACCCGAGCTTTTTCGTAAACTTGCCGGCTCCCTACAGTACATTACTTCCACTCGTCCTGACATTGCCTTTGTTGTCAATAAGTTGTGCCAACATATGCATAATCCCCTACTACTTCACTTTCAGTTACTCAAACGTGTTCTGCGTTACCTGAAAGGGACTATAACTCGTGGCTTGTTTCTTCCCAAAACCAAGCTAACTCTATCTGCTTATTCAGACTCCGACTGGGCTGGAGATCAATTAGACCGAAAATCCACAACTGGTTACTGCCTTTTCTTAGGCACAACTCTTCTTACTTGGTCTGTTAAGAAGCAAACGACATTAGCTAGATCATCAACTGAAACTGAGTACTGCTCCATGGCTGCTGCAACGGACATCATCTGGATGCGCCGCCTCTACGAAGAATTTCTTCTTCCTCAACAGACAACAACTTTATTCCGCGACAATGTTTCTGCCATGTCCATTGCCTGTAATCCTATCTTTCATGCCCACACCAAACACATTGAGATTGATCACCATTTCATCCGAGATTGCATTCAAGCCAACCACATTGTTGTTCATCATGTCTCCACGCTCGATTAAAGTGCAGATATTTTCACCAAGTCTCTTACTTCTGCTCGTCTCGCTGACTCACGCACCAAGCTTCTGGTCCTTCCCATCAGCTTGAGGGACGGTGACAAGCGCCCTGTATCCACTACGCCGAGCAGAACCAGCAGCCGCCTTCACTTCTCAGAACCTGTCTCCACCAACGCTTGCTAAACAAAACACTTTAAGTAACTGTCAGGGTTACTTTCGTAATTACCGTTTCTACACTTTACCTATAGAACACTATGTAATGTGTATTTCTATTATCATGAAAATACGATGGTTTACTATTCATCTTCTTCCTCTACACTCTCTCAAAGCTTTCACAGTTTGTTAAGTTCCTTTAGCTAGCGTTAGCAACTTCTTGCTCATAAGCTTCTTCTCGAGAATACTTCTTGATGCCTCATATTCATCTTCATACTTTAAACATATACAAATAAGATATAAATCTAGAGCTTCCTAATATACCTTTTGTGCCCAAATCTCACCACCCATGCGATAAAATAATTGTCAATTAGTGATTGGACGAAAAGTTGCACGGTTTCTTAAGTGGAACTAACATGGTTGGAACAAGCGGCAACCATATGAAATTTTTTTAATGTTATTAAGCTAGTAGAGGGCAAGGATATTATTTTTTACCTACTTATTACATGATAACAGATTGTGTTGGCTATTATGGCTTCTGTCAATTTTGACTTATCCAATATAGCTTAGATGGATGCAGAAATTCTGCACTCGTATGCAATGAACTCATGGTTCTTTTCATTAAAGGAAAACATATATGTAAGAAGAGAGTTAGCCAACCTGTGTAAATTGGAACTACCATCATAGCCTTATCCCAACTTCGCCAGTTGGATTCCATCCATAAGGTTGGTAGTGAACAGAATTGAAGGGAGCTAGTCCAACTTAGCCATTCTCAAAGTCAAGCTAAAACATGACATTAACGTTCTGTTTGGGGCTCCTTTTTAGCTGCTTTGCTTTATGGAACATAAGCATATAATTATTTGGGGTATTACAGGAATTTTTTGTCCCAAAACAACTTTTTACGATTTGCCTTCAGCTCCCGTGTCAGCTGCGTCCTGCTCTTTTGAGGAAAAAAGTTGACAAAATTATCCCTGTTGTTTTGAGCAACGCCCCGAAATGACATTTTGCCATGTTTTGATCAAAGAGGTTGAAAACAAAATTCAACCTGACATTATTCCATTGAAATCAAAACAAGTTTTTTTTTAAAAATTTCAATGTGAATATTTATGTATTAAAACATGACTTATAACTACTAGACATCACCCTTCAAGTACCTAACTGCCACATATCTAGATAGGGAACCATTTAGGTGAGAAATTATCACGTGCGGAGTCCCGACGTAGAGTTACGTCCGGACTCCCCGAACATAGCATTACGTCCGAACTCCAATAAAAATTTGACGCATGTCCTTGTACACAGTGTGTACAAATTTGTACACACGGTGTACAATTGTATACATAGTGATATTATGTATATAAGTTTGTACACACTATGTACATAATTTTGTAATTTGTGCATAGTGTGTGCAGTTGTACACATTGTGTACAAGAACACGAGTTGTGTTTTTATTGGAGTCCAGTTGTATCCGGACTCAGCATGCAATAATTTCTCCATCTAGGTAGGCACTAAGTGGCATCCATAAATCTGTCTAGTTGAGAGCTAAGACATTCCTTGTTGGTAGTGCAGTCTGACTGACTTGAAAAGGTTGTAAAATCTAAACCATATGAATGATTTGTTTTTGTTGTTCCAACCGCAGGGTAGGGTTGAGGAGCTCTTTGATTTTGATTTAGGCCCTTATGCCATTGCAGCCACTGAGGACTGCAGTAGAAAATTGAGTGATTATGTTAATATAGACATCTTAAATGCCATTCGGAGAACAGCTGCTAAGTCTTGGATATCGGAGAAATCATATGACAAAGATTCTTGTGTACCAGACCTGAGTTTGTTTCTGGTTAATGTGGCGAACTTGGATAAGAATTTTCTAGAGTCCATTCTGTGGTGGAATCAAGTTCTTGATTTGAAACATGAAAGGTTTGATATTCTCCATCTATTACTGAGGTTCTTATAAGTAAAAAAATTATTAATGATCATTTCTAATGAACATAGCTCATTCTTTCCTCAAAATTTAGATGGTTTCACTGGCTTTTATATCAGGAACAATCCGGTAAACATTGTGCTTGCCGTGGCACTCTACAACAAGTACTACAAGCTTCCTGATGCTTGGAAGCTTGTTGATTCCAGGGCTGCAAGCTCGGAGGCCAAGGTTCTCCATTATGATGGACCACCCACAATGGGTTGCTCAAACCAGAAGAATCAGAAAAAGCCTTCTGGCTTTAGTGATATTTGGCGGCAGTATCTACCTCCAAAATCTGATGTCATATTGGCAAATTAAGGCTTCATTTGGGACGGTTTTCTTTCTGCTTCCTAAAGCAACTTCCTAGTAAAAAATTAAATTTTGTTATACTAAGAAGCTCTTTTAAGAAGCAATAAGAAAGTCATCCCAAACGAAACTTAAGATCGTTTAATTTATCAGTTATATGTCTTCGGCTTCGGCTTCGCAAGGACTTGCACTCCTGGAGTAAGGACATTTCTTGC